ATGTCGGACTATGACCTTAGCCGTCTCCTCCGAGAAGACCCGTGTTGAGCAATCAGACGCATATAAATTTATAATAATGGATGGCAATCTAGTTTAGATCTTTTTATACTTATAATTTATTTACTTATATTCTTACACTTTCATATAAAGTGCAATTTATACTGAAATATTATATGTACTGGAAAAAGAAATAATCTAATATATTCTAATCTAATATGGACGCATTATTACATACAGTCATACTCATGTCATCTATTGTATTATGTGGTACAGAAAAGGACTTAAATTTATTACATGCCCCAACATAAACTCTGTAAGTGCACTGTAACTTAACTTACTTTACTAAGTACATTATCTGTTTTCGTAATAAAAAAGTCGCTGTAAATTAAAAAAAAAAAACACTTCGACAGTAAGAATTATTTCAATTTATTTGCAAACATATGTTGCTTGTTAATATTTTTATTATGAGTGTGTTTTACATTGACTTACAAATAAAATAAATTTTATTGTCATATGGCAGGTCGCTGAGTTAACAATGTGTCAATTTGTAAATGAGCTGATCAATTTACGTCTTTTTCTTATTCCTTTGTATAATTATCTGTCTTTATTTGTTATCTAATTATATTATAACAATACATAAATGAACCAATATATGTGTAACATATATAATAATAAATAATAATAGGGGTTAAAGTATGAAATTGCCGATTTGTACTGAAAATCTAAATTGTTTATTTTTTAAATTTTTAACAAATTTATTTAATCAAAATAGTTGCCATTATTATCTATGCATTGCCATCTAATGGGAAGGTTATTAATGCCTTTGCGATAGAACTCCGACGATCTAGACTGCACAAACTGTGTGAAAGCATTTTGTACTGCCTCCTGGGAAGAAAACTTCTTGTCACGTAGATAATTGTCCAAATCACGAAAAAAATGGTAGTCCGTTGGAGCAAGGTCTGGTGAATACGGAGGATGACGAATGGTTTCTAACTGCAGTTCCTGAAGGGTCAAAATGGTTTCTCGTGCTGTGTGAGGTCTCGCGTTGTCGTGGAGCAATAATGGTGAAGATCGATTCATGAGTCGGGGCTGTTTTACTGCTAGTTTTGTCAACATGGTTCGGAGTTCGGCACAATAGACATCTGCCGTTATTGCTTGACCAGATCGGAGAAAACTATAGTGAATAACACCATGCTGAGACCACCAAACAGTTACCATTACCTTTTTATTGGTAAGTTTTGCTTTAGGACACTGTTGTGGCATTTGACCTGGGGTCAGCCATTGCATTTTTCTTTTCCGGTTATCATAAAGAATCCACTTTTCATCACATGTTACAATTCGATCCAATATTCCTTTATTTCTGTACCGGTTCAACAAGGCAACACAAGTTTCAACACGCGTTTCTTTCTGCAGATCAGTCAGATCATGAGGCACCCATTTTTCGTATTTTTTTATTTTATTGATTTGAAGCAAGTGAGTCAATATTGTGGGTAAGGTAACGTTAAACCATGCCGCTAATTCCTGGGTAGTTTGACTAGGATCGGCTTCCACTATCTCTCTTAATTCATCGTTATTCACCTGTGTGGGCGGTCTTCCTCGTGGCTCGTTCTTTAAGTCGAAATTTCCATCACGAAAGCGTTTAAACCAAAATCGCACGGTGCGTTCATTAGTAGACCCCTCTCCAAACGCAGCATTGATATTGCGGGCTGTTTCTGCCGCGTTAGTTCCGCGTCGGAACTCGTATTCAAAAATCACTCGAATTTTCGCAGTATCCATCTTTCTTGTCTAAATTGAATAACAAAAACAATTGAAAGTCGATATTCAAATGTTTCAAATTTAAAAAAAAAAATCACAGAAACCATTTGAAAAAAGTTTCATTCGAAAACCTCAAACCATGAAGATTCTATGAAAATTCAAAGAACCTATTGCAATAAAACGGCAATTTCATACTTTAACCCCTAATATATATAATAAATATGGAAATAATGCATGTCTTGTCCAAACAAGTGACTGTATTTTCGTACGAGTTTTAAGTGTTATGTATTGATGTGAAAGTTAAAATGTTGAAAGTAGCAAAATGTGAACTATAAGTACCTATCTGTTTTTAAATATATTTACCAATATCCTTATGCATTTCTTTTGCAGAATAAAGTAACGAGTGCATTATTATAAATCGAAAATGATTTAGTTAATAAATGTTCACAATTTGATAACTCGACAGGCATGTAATGAGATGTCACTAACTTCGTAATATAATTACATCTGTGATATCCAATTAACACCGATCCGTACTACGAGAATCATTATTAATTATTGAACAACATTGAATTAGCTTTAATTGACCTTTTACTTTTACTTGAGAATTTACTCGTTATAATTTACGTTTACTTGATATTTCACTTTTATTTGAGAATTTACTTTTACTTGATAATCGACCAAAATTAACAGACCTATGATGCGAATGAAGCTTCATAAGTGTCTTTTGATTTGGTGGCTTTACTTATTTGACAGAAGTTGTTTCGGACGGAATGTCGAACGAGAACGAGAGTAGATCGACTGAACTCTTTCAGAATAACCATGTGGTCGCTTTACTAAAAAAAGCTCTAAGCCTTGTTGTAACACCCTAAAGGCTCTATAAAATGTGCAATGTGCATTGACTTACAAATAAGTGGACGACGGGACTAATACAAAAACCACGGAAAAAATGTCCCAAGTCAACTTATTTAAACGCAGTGACATGGAATATGACAAATCTAAAACGTTGAATTTAAATTGTAATGTCATCGCAGTACTGTTTAATTTTGCTTGCTTTGCTGTCAGTCGAACAAACGAAGACTAGAGCGTGAATGACGCTCTGTATACGATTTTAACGCCCTATAAGTTCGGACACTTTTTAGCGCGGACCCGACGTCCATATAATTGTAAGTCAATGGCAATGTGTCATAAAATTACTAAAAACCTTTATGTACTTATTATTTGTATTTTTAACGGACTTCAAAAAAGGATGATGTTCTCAATTCGTCTGTTTTTTTTTGTGGGTATGTTACTCGATTACTCTTTATTATTTGTGAACCTATTTTGATGATTCTTTGTTGTAAAAAAGAGCGTACCTGAATAATGGTCCTAGTTGAATTTGAAGACAATATTATATCTAGGGATATTAGGAGAAAAATAAGGTTTATTGGATTTTGATTCCCTGGCCGGGAGACATATTTGTATGCACCTACATTTGTTTATCTCGTGAGTTTGGGTGTAATTTGAAGTTGTCTATGTGTGTGTTCATGGCACCCGCGACATAGGGTTTTCCTGATGAATGAGTGTGTGCGTTATGTTTATTATTATTATATAATGGTTTCATTTTCAAACCATCGCTAGAACATAAAAGAAAATTCTCCTTGAAAAACCTCTTTTAATTAAAAAGCAGAAAACACATCAAAGGTCGCGCCGTCGTGGGAGTATTGTGCACAGTAGACTGGTAACGTTTTCCCTTTTGATAACTAACATTTTATTAAGCAATATTATAAGCTTATTGCAATTTACGATTCAATTTTTGCTTTGGAACAAAACTTCTAAATCAAAAACTGATTGAATGTATTAAAAAAAATAAACAAATGTGCATTGTAATGGTCTATTGAACAGGTCTCTATTAATCCAATAACGTTATCACAAGGCAATACAATTGTTATAACGAACAATTTATTTAGAACGATGGTCAGAATTAATATTCTCCTCGCCTCAATTGCATTGCATGTGATGTGAAACTTCAAAACAAAAGAAGAATTTGTTTCGTAACACCGAATAGTTAATTCCTAAAATAGAAATTAAAAAAGAACTCTCTCACAATATTGATTGTTGTGTTTTGTAATGTTTGATCATAGTAAATTGATATATAATAATAATACAGTGATGTCAATCCATATCGTCGGTATTTAAAAAAAATTTCAGGGAGCATGTTTTAGGTTTTAACGACTGTTTTAAAATATCTTAGGTTTTCGCGATTGTTACACATGGAAAATGAAACTATTTTTCGGGATTTAAATCGTTGACAGTCTACTGTGACCATGGAACCTGTAAAGGGACGAAACGTTGGTTTGTTTATAAAAACAAATATAAGCGATTTAAATCCGAATAAATGGTTTCATTTCCTGTTATAAAATATTTTCGTCTTTTTTCAAAATTCTATTGTGAAAATTGACGTAAACATTTTAAAATAGTTGTGAAAACCAAAAACATGCTATGCTGACAATTTTTTCGAAATGTTGCTTACGCCCTTTCTAGAAAACACTGGCAATACATGGGTTTTATTTAGTCCAGACTCACAGGTCTCTACCAAAGGGCGGTTATTAGACCAATATTTTTCTTTATCGGAAAAGGAAGTGACGAATATAAACTCAAAAGAGCGTATTGATTGTCTAGTGTTAGGTATGTGACTAGCGGTCTATTGCTATAAAAACGATGAATAAAAACTGTCACTAGTTATTCTCGCCTGCAACTTTCATACATATCATGTGGTCATCGCACTCTAACCGACATAAAACAACCTTGAGCATCACGCGTACTACGACCAGGATACCACGGTGTTAAAGTAATAAATTATCATTGCATAGGTGTAATTACTATCACCGTCTATTTCTGCCTATTTATTAGCTGCCACGAAACCAAAATGTTGATGTAACATCAATCGCATAATACGACAGCGAGTGATTCAGTACGAGCTCATAAAAATAAACTAATGATAATTTAACCGCAACCAGATAACATAGCACGAAAGTGTTGGAATCTGTTAACCACATAAATTACTGAGTAAAAGCTAGCATTCCCGTTTCTCAGTACGACGTTAACCGGTTTCATAATAGGCTCTAGTTCGACTCCATTTTTTGCCATTCACCTGTTGGACGGCGGTGGCTATGGCACGCCTCCTCCCGCCATCTTTGGCTATGTGGTTTGGCCGCCACGCGACTCGGACATCCACCTCATTCACTTTCCGCTTTTACTTTCAGGTCGCACCTGTTTTCCTGCTCGTTTTTACCGTGGTTGCCGACAAAAAAATCGAACTACAGGACATTGAAGACGACAACTTGAAAAGCGAAAAGGAAAAGGACATCGATAAGTCAGAGCCGCGTTCGCAAAGTTCTGGTTCAGGAACGGCGCCAGGATTGCTTCCGCTGGAATTCTTTAAAAACGGACTTATTCGATACTTTGATACTCCAACACAAGCACCGCAGCAACCACGTTTTGTTCATCAGTACGCAGTTACGGAACCCCCGGAAAGGCCGCCACCAGTGTCGCCAAAGCCTCAGTACGGACCGCCTCCCGCGCAGCAAGCGATGGTTGGGTACTTATCAAACGTTCCAATGCAGATATATCTAGTCCCCCAGTATTACAGTGAAACTTCAGAGCAAGCGGCCAGTCACCAGCCAGCCGTGCAGTACTCCGCACCGGCGCCGCGTGTCCCAGCCTATCACGTTCCTGAGTCCGTGCAAGCACACGCCAACTACGTGGAAGTTCCAACATATGTAACACCAACAGGCAAAACGTATGTCCAGCAATATCAACCACCAGTAGCCTATGTCACTTACAGTCAACCGACAATTGCTCCTGTACAGTCCACTGTCGGTCCAGTGGTCTATCAAATGCCAGTAGTTCAATATCCTACAGCTTTAGTTGCGCCACCAGTCATATCCAAGGGCTACTATCAGCAGTACACTGACACAAATGCTGTAGACGATGTACAGGATGAAGCCGAAAGTCCAAAGCAATACGTAACACAAACCGAAGTGCCTTATACTAAACCTACAGCGCCCGAGTACCCACGTTATTACAACTCTCGAGCACCAATTAGGGAAGAATACAGGCATACTAGCATATCTGAACTACCGCCTCCGAACCCCTTGCTGTTGAAAAGTCCTCCTCCACATCTAGCTCATCTCCCAAAAGCTTTGCCCTTCTTCAGTAGGCCCTTGACAAGGCCAGTGTACGCTTCGGGTGGTAACTTTATTTCGAGTGCCTACACTCCTAAGACGAGCGAAACGTACGGCACTCCCTTTAAAAGGCGTCCATCATCTCTATTGGATTCCTATGTGCCGTCTAGTGTTCAGGTAGACTATTTAAAAAAAGGATACGCTAAGGATCCCTTGGCAGCGTATGAGGCTTTATCAACAGGTAGGCATTTTTCGCATACGCCGATAATTCCGAGACAATATGAACGAGGCTTTTTGCCGAACCAAATGTATCATACTGCTGGCGGAGGCATAACTTACGGTCACTACAAACGGACGCCGAAGGAGGAGAAGGTCTCTAAGAAATAAACAATTGAAAGTCGACTTTACTTTAAGAGAATGTGACTGCTTAGTGTGATTGTATAGTACAAAAAGATGGCGTATAACATAAAACTTTGTTGGTTGGGTAGTAAGTTTGTACAACGAATGTAAAATAAGAACTAATTTATTAAGATTATTACTAATCATGTAATCTAAAAACACTAATGAGGCTTAGCACATGATTAAAAATTGATAATTCGAATGGTCAGTATTTCATAATAATCTACAAATTATTGTTATTTATAATTAAATTGTTGTTAAAAACTTTCTTTACTTTTATTCGATGACTACTGCATCCCCTATGCAACTACCTAATTGATACCTGATCTAATTGATATGACACGCTTCCACATTTGTGTGTGCTTCCGCGGCAAAACGGTCACCATGTTGAAATGCCACGCGGAGATGCCGGGTTCTATTCTCGGGACGGGAGAAATATTTGTATGGCCTACATTTATTTCTCTCGTGACTTCGGGTATAAATTGTAGTTGTCTGCGTGTGTGTCGGGGGCAGGGGGCCTTGGAGGAGGCCTCAGTCCAGTAGTGGACGTCTTTTTGCTGAAATGATGATGATGATGATGTGTATATCTTTGGCATCCGCGATACAGGGTTTCCCTAATGCGGGGCTATGAGTGTGTGTATAATATATATATTAATTAAAAGTTCAAAAAATTACTGAATGGAACCAATAAGTTTATATTCTCATTTATAAATAGATGACGACTTATTACGTAAATAAAAATATTATCATTATTCGCAATAATATTCATTCTGTATTTTATAAATTTTCAAATCGTGTTTTCTCAATTCTACAATTTTTGAGTTAGGACAGTATTTGGTTTCATGTGCGAGATGTTCATCAAACATAGCAAAATAACATCCCGTTTGAATTAGCCATCAAGTAAAATAAACTGTTCCGAGATCAGTTCATCCATTTTGCTACCACGCCACAAACAGACACACAGATAAATTGACAAAGTCTTCATGCTATTAAATAAAAGATTTATTTTTCAGTCAGAGTACAAAGGAAAAATAACCTATAAGTACAATAGATTCCGCGTGTAAAATATACATTTTTTTCCCGCCAAAACCGCCAAACATAATCGAGGAATAGTTTTAGTGGTATTGGCAATGACCAACAATAATACCAATAGATGATAACTAACGGCAGATTACAAGCAAAGTCTATGCGTACGATACCGTCTATGGCATTAAGAAATAATAATTGGCAACACCGATATAAACGTAAAATGTAATGTGTAATTAAAATTTCTCAATAATAACAACTTTATGCATTTGAATTTATTTTGAAAAGGTGTATCAAATACCATGTAACAGTTTGCAAAAGTGACACATTTCAATAACCATTTGTTAGAGTACGAAACAATTACATAACGTAGTATGCAAAATACGA